CATTATCTTGCTTCCATCTTCTAGAGTGCAGCATGGCTGCAGACTTCATGGTAGTACATACCACAGTGAGCATACCGGCCCGGTCTGCACAGATAGCGACTGGCTTCGGGACATTCAGCGCGCATCTTTGGCCGTGTATTTCCCCCGTGCCGGTTTTGGTGATAGTTCACTAGTTGGCTGCTGACACAGTCCCCTTACTACTATCGAATGTACATGGTTTGGCCGTAGAGTGGAAATTTGGGTCCGAGGCGCTCATGGTCAACGGGATCCACAACAGGCAGTTCCAGTGAGGCTCTGCCACAACTCCAGAAACGTCTGGTAGTACTGACTCGTGACGGTCCGAATTCGGCAGTCGGCACTTTCCTGTAAGCACAGTAGACCACGTTTGGCAGGTTCTTCCAAATTCGGTCAACTGTTCGGTCATATTATATGCGCTGTTTAGAGCTGATCGGTGTACGTTGAAGGGTGACGTAGGAAGACAGGCGTGGGAACGTGTTATGTAAGATCGTTGCGGCTGTTCAAGCCCGTGTAGATCTTTTGCGCATCATCGTGATGGTGTGGTGGTGAGACTGTAGTTTTCTCTATTTGTACAGGTGCTTGATGCGATTGATTGCATTGCTGTGTATGTAAGGAGTGTGTGTCGTAGATGTCGTTCTATCTAGGTATCCAAACATCGTTTAGATCCCGTCTGCAGGTGCTCTCCGACTTCCGCACTGACCTCCGAACCTAAGGACCATTCGGCCCTACCTAGGTATCTAGGTATCGTTCCACTGACCTCAACATCACAATGGAATCGGCGCGACGACTTTTTTTCTACTCAGCTGACCACAATGTTTCATTGTGATAGACGAGGCCCTTGGAGTTGAGATACTTCCCATTCGAGACCATCCCCTTGCGCATGGGTCTTGTGAAATGCGGGCCTTGGCGGGAAGGTACCCAGGTGTGGTTGGTGGGTCGTCTCCGGGTCGTCTCTGTTGTGATAGACGAACATGATCTTGCCATCTATATAAAGCAACAGTGGTCTTCTCGATACCTAGCATACCGACACAGCATCTTCATTACCCACAAGTTTTACACACCTCCTCATCACACTCAACTACTCATTCACCTCGATCCACGACAAAATGGTCCGACTCTCCATCGCCGCGGTATTCTTCGCCGCCATCACTTCCGTCGCCGCTGATGGATGGTGCCAATGCCTCTACGCGGATGGCTCCCACTGCTGCGTTACTGTAAGCCAATGATAGCCCGAGTGGAATCAAACAGTTAAATTCAAACGACCGAATCTAACGATGTACTAGCAATACGGCATCAGGAAGGACTGCGTGGCCCGATGCATCGACAACGGAAACTCGGACAACAAGTGCAACGCTGGTGGCAAGTACTCGGACGTTAGCTCATGGAACGCTTCGTGGCGCCGCTCTTGCACGGATTGGACCATTGGAAACGCGAAGTAGAGGAGGAGCTCGTCAGGGTGCCCTTGCGCAGTTCTTAAGCAATCGTCTCTTTGTATTATGGCAGTCAATGTAACAATGTACCTTCTCTTAAGTTTCCTCAGTTCTCGAGATCCTAGGACCTCAATCGCTGGGAAGCTCCCATTCAATCTAAACCCTTTTCTGTAAATACGGTAATCGCCGCGTGTAATAATTGATATGACGGTGTGCCTTCTCACCGTGTGTAACTGATACGATGATGAACCTTTCCAAACGAAAACAAGCGTACTGTGGTAGACTCCGTGAGATTACTTGAACAGATCCAATGTGACCTATGCACGTCCCACCGTGGGGTGCTTCGTAAATCCGCCGAAATATGATTATGACTCGTATTATGCGGTCTCTTAGTCTGTTGGACTCTATAAAGATCGTGGTCTCTCTTCCACTCCTCAGCACCATCACACCACTCATCACATCTACCCACATCCCAACCCAACTGCATCTTACTCATCATCAACGCCCAACATGCGTCTTACTGTTGTTACCGTGCTCCTTGCCAGCGTAAGCAGCGTTGTTGCTTCGTACTGCCAGTGCCTTTACCCAGACGGCAGCCATTGCTGCGTTATCGTAAGTCGTCATGTATCACTTCACACTCAAGATTGACTTGCTCACCATCGTGATGTTTTTCAGGACAACCTTGTCGATGATTGCCCGAGAATGTGCTTGAGGGCGTCCAAGGACAGCACGACTGCTGGACAGTGCAACGCCGACGGGAAATTCTCTAATGTCAGCTCATGGAACGCCCAGAGACGCAAGCAGTGTGGCAAGCCCTACATTTACTAGATTCGGAAATTCACTCGCACTATCGCCAAAGCTCCTGCGAAGTCGTTCTGGAGGATGGGACTGAGAAGGTTTTGTGGTGGAAACTGGTAGGAAGATCGCTCGGGGACGGTTCTTGAAACATGATGGGGCTGTGGATGTTGAGGCGGGTCGATCGTGGGTACCATTGCGGATGTAGCGAGTAACAGCAAAATAACACCTTGCCTATCTCCCCACCCTTCCGTACTGTTCAGAAATCATACCAGAAGCTTATCATGCGTATGTGAAAATCAGTTGACCGGAACTTTTCAGTGTCGTTAAGCTCGGGTCGTACAGGCGGCTTCATGGATGGCGGCTTACGGGTACCTGCGCTACTTGCTCAGCTGTTCAGTTGCGACACCCTCTCATATTTCCTTCCCTCTTCCGTGTATTACAAGTAACATACTCGTTTCGAAACTGCTGAAGATGTTGCTGTTTTGTGACAGACAGGCCGATGCCAGACATGTAGACCCCGTCGTAGTTACATTCGTGAGAGGAAGCCTGAAAAGACAATTTTTGTTCAAGAAGCCGGAAGCCTCAACATCTCCCATCTTCAAGTCAACAACTTCATCGTTTTTGACATACTCAACCCCTCCAACACGCCAACCACATCCTACCATGTCCCCATCCATCGAGCTTACCACTACTCCTCGCCCTACTCCTCCTGTCACATCAAAATCCACACCGAAAGCCCATCTCATCCTCGTTGTAACCTCCCTCTACCTCGGCACCTTCCTCGTAGCCCTCGACACCATAATCCTCAACCCCATCCTGCTGACCATAACCAAAACCTTCCACGTCCTCGACCATCTCGCATGGTATGGAAGTGCGTATCTTCTCGCGCTCACAGCACTGCAGCCCACATTGGGGAAACTGTATAAAGTGGGGGATGTCAAGATGTTGTATCTTGTCTCTGTGGGGGTGTTCGAAGGTACGTCGGATGCTTTCTTGGTCTAATGAGTGTAGGGTGTACAAAACGATAAGCTGATGTAACCATTAGTCGGTAGTGTACTCTGCGCGGTCGCACCTTCATCTGCAATCTTCATTCTAGGGAGAGCGGTGGCGGGATGCGGAGCAGCGGGATTGATGCAAGGCTCTTTTGCCGTGATAACGAAGACTGTTCCTTTATCCCAGCGACCCTTCTTCTTCGGGCTGTTCGTCAGTGCGTTTGGGGTCAGTATTGGGGTCGGGCCAGTGGTGGGAGGTTTGTTGGCTGATCGAGGACTATGGCGGTGGTGTTTCTGGATGTGAGTACGCGCCGGATCGATGGTTCTGTGCTTACGAGTTGCAAGCAATTTGCCCTTGGGTGCCGTGGTCTTAGGACTTGTTGCAGTGTTTTTGAGACTCGAGAAGGAATATCGACTTGGGAAAGTGAAGACTGCCAGCAGCGGACATGAAGTCGGACGTTTTTTCTTCAAGCTGGATCTGGGAGGAAGTCTCTTGCTGATCGCGTCCATGTGTTGTCTCTTCATGGCAATGCAATGGGGCGGCCACCGTCTTCCTTGGAACTCTCCCATCATCATCGGCCTTTCCGCTGTCTCCGGCGTCTTACTTGTGCTGTTCCTCTTGGTGGAGTGGAATATGGAGGAAGACGCATCTGTACCGTTTGGAGTCCTCAAACAACGGTCTATCGCTTTCGGAGTAGTGTATCTATTCTTCTTTTCGATGCCAAATTTCTCGGTATGTAATTGCTCCCCGCACACAAGTTCCCGATAAGACTGATATGAAGATAGTACGGAGTATACGTACCCATGTTCTTTCAAACAGTAAAGGGATTCGGCGCGCAAAGGAGTGGTGTAGAGATTCTGTTCTTGACGTTGACGCAGATTTTGACTGTAGTAGTGGTTGGGGCCCTAGTTTCAAGATCAGGTTATTACGTGAGTTTTTGCACAACGATCTCGCTGTTCTGGACTGAGTCTCGATAGACGCCATTCATCATCCTTGGGACTGGCCTGAGCGTAGTAAGTTCCACTTGGAAACTTTATCGCCATGATCAACTAACCATTCGAATGAAGGTCGGATCCGGGCTCATTACGTTACTCAACGTCAGCACCTATCATGGTGTGTGGGCGGCATACTTCATCATATGCGGTGTTGGTACTGGCTGCGCGATCAATTTGCCGTACACAGCTGTGTCGGCTGTCTTGAAGGAGGAAGACATGGTCACCGGGAATGGTAAGGCTTGTTTACGTCGTGTTATCTGAAACCTGACTTTCTCTTCAGCATTGTTACAATTTGCCTTCCAACTCGGCGGTGCAGTAAGCCTCTGTATATCACAAACCATATTCTTGGGTCGCTTGACAGTAGTCAAGTCCAGCCTTCCGAATTCGCCGGTGGAAGGACTGGACAGCAACGGAGCGAACAAGTTGGCGTATCAGAATGCCATTCGGGACGTTTTTTTCTTCTTGCTGGTGACGAGTTTGCTTGCCTTGGTTGCGTCCTTTGGGTTCGAGCACAAAAATATCAAGAAAGTTGAAGAAGCCCAGAAGACAGGCAGTGCACAACGCGCGGAGGTGGAGTAACTGCCTTGTTAAGCTTCTGCTACAAAAGCGCATGTATGGGGAGCCGGACAAGAGGATGTTGAGCTATCCGTACAATGACGATAAGTAATGCAATTGCCTATTGAAGCATAGCTATGAGGCTGGCGAGGGCGTATGGATGCAGATCCTTGTGAGAAGACTCGATGATGCTTGGACGGTAGCAGGTATGATGCATGTGATTCTGATCACGAGGCACGTTTGCCGCGTCTAAAGGCTTATGGAGCGGCGGAGTAATATAGTGGTCACGACGCGTGACGCGGTAGGGTAATGACCGGGGGTTAGCTTGGACAGCTCTGCCGAAGCCAGCCCCGCGACACCTCAAGCAGCAATCGAGCATCTCTCCCGACTCCAGCACGCCGCTCCGTCAGTCCACTCTGGCGTTGGTACACGGCCAAAACGCTTTCGCATATCAATTACCTACACAACTTCCAAGTCGCATCGCCTAACGCCGCACCTGTCCACTTGGCTAGGCAGCCGTATCGTGGGGCCGTACAAGTACTTCGAATACGAACGACGATATCTGCAAGCACCGACGAACGCACGCCTAACACTCAATCGACGAGCGGAAAAACAACTGCACAGTATGGCAGCCTTCTTCGAACAGCTATGGGAGTCCATCTTCATCGCGGGGCCGACGCCCACGCTCCTTATCGCAACAAACGCCTCGTTCGCTGCGCTCCAGGTTCTTCTGTTCGTCATGCTCATTGCGACGTACAGCATACACTTCGTCATCCTCTCCCTGTTATGCGGAGGTCTCTGGTGGTCGATAAACTGGTTCGCGACGGAGCTCAAGGCTGCGCAAGCCAAGGAGGAGGAAGCAAAGCGTATCCGAGAAGCTAGAAGGGGCGGAAAAGAGAAGGGAGGTGCAGGCGACGACGGAGACGGCATGGACACAGGCGACGATACGGAGGTGGATACCGAGGTCGAGCAAACGCAAACTATGAAGCCCAAGTCGAGCCAGCCTCGTGCGCCCCGCCCCGAGACACAAAGCACGGTGTTTGTGGAGAGACCGGGTGGAAGTGAGACAGAGAACCCAACACAGGCTGCTGCTTCTGTCGGTAGTGGAGGTCCTACTACTGCGAGTACTACAGGAGCGGCGACGAGTCTTGCGGCACCGGTAGACGAAGCACTGAAGAGAAGGAAGGGCATGGGTGAATCAACAGGTGATCTATCTACCGATAGCGAATGGGACAAGCTATCGGAGGACTCAGAGGACAAGTGAAGTCAGGCGCATCTTGCTAGATACTATTCGTATGTTTGGATACTAGACGCGATTAGATTCTGTGGACCTGTACACCGATGTCATTACACGTGAACACGCGCGGCCGCCTCTGTTGCCCTGCATATCAGACATGGCTGCTATTCAAGTGCCGTTGCTAGTCCACCATAATCTCTCTTGGATCATCGTCTGCCTTTGTGCCCATCCTGTTCGCGATGCATGTGTCTGATGCCCAACCTCGTCAAGTCGATCTGGTCGTGCTTGCCACGCGCCGCAGCAGGGCCCTGATTGCCCCGCCATGTATCCAGCATCCCCCATCCCCCATCACAGTGCCCTAGACTTGATTCTCTTCAGCCAGCGCCGCACACCATTTCCCATGTCACTGATGAGGACGCGTCACCTCCACCCGCACCGGTAGCGGTCCTGTTTGTCGCAAAGTTGTTGCCTTGAGGCCGTCATTCGCGAATACCTAGACATACCTCGTACGCCCCGCCGCTCCGCAACACGCATCCTCCGCAATGGCGACCATCAACACCCCCGTGAGCCTGCCCGAGGTGACGGAACAGGCCGGAAACTACACATACAATGCGCACATTCCCCTGGCGAATTGGCTGCGCACAGCCAGTACCATGCAGAAAGAGGTGTGTTTACTTGCCATGGCTGAGATGCGCATGCTCACTCCCACCAGGCCCAAGTTTATGAAGCAGAGGGCAACGACGCGCAGACATACCTCCTCCTATACCGGCATGCCGACCTCGTCCTCCAGAAACTACAGGGCCATCCTGACAGGAACAAGCCCGAGAACCGAAAAGCGCTCAATGCTGCAACAGCAGCCGTCAGTCGCGATCTGAAGAAGCTCGAGGAAATCGCGCCGCGCATCAAGAAGAGGCACGAAGAATACGAAGAGAGGAGACGGAGACAGAAGGAAAGCCTGCGATTGTTGGAAGGGCAGGGCTTGGGTGCTCTTCCGCAGGAGCTGGACGGGTTGGCGATTCAGGATCGGGGACCCAAGAGACGGTCGTTCGATTCGCGGCCCACGATCGATGCGCGCTCTCTGGAGAACCAGTCGCTTGCCGCGAGACTGGCGCAGAGAGAAGTGCGGAGGAGAGATACTGTCAGAAGAGGTGTGCGACAGCATGGCATCTCAGAAGAGGAAGAGCATGCGCGCCGCAGTGGAGGCACCTGGGACAGCTGGCAGCAAGGGCCCGAAGGAGACGACATCTCAAACCAACTGCAAGAAGTTGCCAGACTTCAGCAAAATGGCCATAGAACATCTTACACCTCGGTAAGCTTCATGCGACAGTTATGTGGCTTCTTTACTGACAAGTCCAGCGTCCCGCGTCTCAGTCCGCGTCTCCATACCACTACCCTACCGTACCCTACAAGACCGCCCAAGAAAGATGGTCCGACTCCCAGTCACGCGACACGGCGCCTGCGCGACCTCCAAAAGAGCAGATATACAGGCCCTCTGGCACACCGGCAGCCCCACCGCCGTTGCCGCCCAAGTCTCCAGCTTCTACGTACGATGCGCGATACGATCATTCACGACCTCCTCCTGTCCCAGGCAAGATCTCAGAGAGCGCGCCACCTTTGCCAAGCAAGATACCGGACCAGAGACCGTTGACACCCTCCACCGAGCTCGACGAATTTACATTCAAGCCTTCTGCCTTCCTGGAGAATGGCGATCCCCTCCGTCCCGTTTTCCTCCCGTCCCAACTACGCAATCAGTTCCTTGCCGTTGCTTCCTCCAACACACGTCTCAATCTTGAAACATGCGGTATGCTGGGTGGAATACTAAAGTCCAACGCCCTCTTCATCACACGACTCATCATCCCCGAACAAACTAGCACGAGTGACACCTGCGAGACGTTGAACGAAGAAGAGCTATTTGATTACTGCGACAAAGAAGAGTTGATGGTCCTCGGTTGGATTCACACGCATCCGACGCAGACCTGCTTTATGAGCAGCAGAGACTTGCACACCCATGTCGGATATCAGGTCATGATGCCAGAAAGCATCGCCATCGTTTGCGCTCCAACAAAACAACCTAGGTATGTCATCCAACCTCCCCTTAGTTTCGTTCAAAACACTGACAGTGATATAGCTGGGGTTGTTTCCGCCTTACTGATCCCCCAGGCAAACAAGCCATTCTGAACTGCAGTCGACCTGGTATATTCCATCCTCACGACGTCGATAACATCTACACCGAAGCGCTCAAGCCGGGTCATGTGGTCGAGCTGACCGACGCGCCCCTGGAAATCGTGGACATGAGGCCCAAGAAGAACCTCTAAATCCGCCATCCTAAAACCATAACTATGATATGGTTGCACGAGGAATACCCATTATATGCAGGTCATCGACATGAAGGAACATGTTCATTGCATAGCGAGGAGTTTGGAGCATTTCAAGAGTATATGTTGCTCACCGTGTTCTACGGAGTAGCTTACAGGGTATACAGTCGTGTATATTTGTCGATCGATAAGTAAACGCACATTTAGAAGTAGCTTAGGTGTGTCCTGTAGATATCACGCATTTATCACTGCCACCTCCTCTTTCGGTCTGATCAGTCGCTGTCTACCTTCTCCATTCTCTCCATACGCTAGTGGCCTACGCCATATTCTTGGTATCGCGCGCAGATCAAGTCATCGTCCGATTGTACAAGAACGAGTCGATGTCACTCTACATCGATCGCTGGTACTTTCGATGGCAGGTACGTCGTCGTTACACATGCATTGTGCTGATCCTCCCAGTGTTCATAATTTATACAAAGAAGCAACATCAAGCATTGCACCGGCAAGTCCCGCACGTTTCCCGATCAACACGAGAAAATGCAACGTGAAATTTCCCCAACCCACGTGGGAAAAGGAAAACCTGTTCACGCCTTACCAGCACTTCGGGAATGACCCCAATCTAAACCCACGCACGACCGAGCCCAACCCAACCACATTTCTCCACTAACGCAATACCCCCATCGCGAACAACAAACATTTCCACGATCGTCGACGTCATCGTATACAATGTCAAACACCCTCACCACACTTACCCCTTACAGCGGCTATACATCGGATAAGGAACCGTGCCGATACCCGAAGTTCCCCCCAACCGATAACACAGCAGCCCGAAACATTTCGGGAGATCGACAAATCGACAATTGGCATGTCTGTCTAGTCTGCTTTTTCGCAACTCGCGACTGTCGTTGTGCATATATGCATATGCCATGTTGCCGAAAGCGGACCTGAGAGTGCAGGTGGTGCTTCGAAACCTGTTTCGCTACTGTGATCATAGTCAAAGTCAGGCAAGACACTCGATGCGAATGCCGTATCAGTGGCCCGTACGAGGCTAGTTAGTCTTCTTCCACGACTATGGTGGTTTGGTAGCGTGACAATTGTATTAGAAGCACTACGTGTGCGGATGGTCGGGTCATAAGGCGTTCCATTGGTTTGGGGGATTCGGGTCGAGTGTGGGTTAGCCAAGGCAGGTTTCTTGTCCTTGTGTCGTTCTAGATTGGGGAACGTTGGGTCCGAAGTCGTGATTTCGGCTTGAGCCGAAGGGTTTGCGGCTAAGGGGTTGTGGATGGGACTTGGTAAGAGTGACTGTGAGCCATGTCGTGCATGCAGGCGGGTACTGTGGGTATTTGATAAGCAAATTCTTCTAGAATATCCCTCAGACACTCAGATACATCTGGTTGGTGTCGGGATTGAAGCTGCTGGTCCATCACGAAGCTCTGCCAAGATACAACAGCCAGCCACTATAATTTCAGTAACCACACGGCAAACACCAAGAGCGGTTCCTCGTGCCCGGCATTGAGATCGGCAAGCCCCAGAGAGGGCGGAATATGCTTTCGGTATGTCTAAGCTAGCCGCATGGCTTTGCTTCTTCTACGTTGTACTGGGCTAGTCACCGGAGCTTAGATGTTTTAGCACATGTTGGGCGTGTATCGAAAAGGGAGAAAAGAAAAACTTCGCACCTTTGCCGTGATCGAGCAGAGAAAGTCTGTCGAGCCCGACATTAGGTGCCGCTGTCTGCTATCTGCTATCGTCGGCGGGATGATGACAATGGCTGGTATCGACGCGTATGTCTTATTCCGAATCCGATACCTACGCGGGTCTAGTCGGCGATGGAGTGCAAAAGTCAGCTGCATGCATCGCATCCAGTCGCCGTATCAGCAATGTGCCGACCACCGCAGTATCGTAAGAGGACAGCTCGTAATTGCCGAGGGATGTTTGGAAACATGTGGAAGTGAGGTGAGAGATCGACTGGATATGTTCGCGCAACTTCATGTCATCGTACGACTGGGGTGATGATTACCAGATTCGCGGTACCGAAAAGGCTCGCGCGCGGCGGGGAAAGGGAGGCTGCACAGCTACACCACTTTGAGCGGTTCGGCCAAGCCCTTCTCCACATTTCTGATTGGTGGCTCATCGCACATACTGGCCCAGATTCTGTCAAGAGGCTCTCTTTGACCATGGGATTGATTGATGATCACCAGCAACGCTTTCGCCGTTGCCTACGTACGGTGTAGCAAGGCGATCGATTCGATTTTACGCTACTCCAATGACTATCCCCCAATACTAAACCCCGCAACTGCTGTGGTCCTCATCCGGGTGTGTAAGCGCACGCCGCATGCGCGTACAGATGAACACATGCTTACAACGTGGTTGAGACAAGATGCGGGAACGGTGGGGACCTGGTGGGATGCGGAGAACGCTCCAGAATATTCAACGGGATCGGCGACTGCAGTTTGACGTCAAAAGTCGCATACTTCAGATAACCGTCGTCCCAAATTCTGGTGTGGAGACGCGGTGGTATTTGCGATCGTAGTATGTTCAGTGACCGCCGTTGTGCGTTGAAGAGTTTAATTCGCATCGAGGCATTACCTGCAGCCACAGTGCACGATCCGATAAAGTTTGCTTCCCATGCTTTGCTTCAATACGTTCTAGCGATACGGGAGAGCACCAAGTGCCATGTTACTTGGGCGTGTTCCATTGCACCATCTGCTCCAC